ATTATTATTATTATTATTATTATTATTATTATTATTATTATTATTATCATCATTATTATTATTGTTATCATTATTATTCCCCAAAAGCATTTTCCTTAGTGAGTTTTTTTCATGTATCGCACCCAAAAAATAACGTTAAAAATCCTGTTTTTCTTTTGTTTTTATGTAAGCTGCTCCAGGTTTTGCCCTCTTGTGTTTTTATTTTCCCAAACAGCAGAGCCAGAGGTCACCGTTTCTGTTAGGATTCAAACGGGCGGCAGGCGGGGGGACAACAAAGATGAAAGACGGGAGTAAATGTCATCTTTCTTTACAACAACCTGCTGGAGTCAGACTAACCTTTTTATTGGTTTTTAAGACAGAAAACTGCTTTTAAAAACGGCACAAAGAGCCAGAAACCTGCTCTAAAAGCACCAAAGACTCTAACAAGACGAAGAAAATAAGAAATATGAACTACAGAAGAGTAAAAAAGAACGTTTCTGTTTGAAGATTAACCTATTTTATACTCCAAAAGATGAAAAAATGTCAGTTCAAACACTTAAACTTTGATCAGATATGATATAATAAAAACCACGTTAGAGGATCAGAGAAGTAAAATTAATTTTATCTGAAAAAATAAATAGTTTTAAGCACTCTTGTTGCTTTTAATGAGCCAGAAAACAGTCCTGAAACTGATGGATTCACATGAAATTCAGATTAATATATATCAATTTGTCACTCTTTTGTATTTAGTCGTTCTTTTTATGCTTATTTTACAGAAAAAATCAATTTTTTGTCTCTTTACTGCTCTTACTTTACTTTAGACTCTTTATTTTTCGGTTGCGAGCAGCACATTGTGCTCAGAGGGACGACCGGAGGCGGGGTTACCGTGGAAACGGGCCTGTTTTTGGGGTACCTGTAGCTGGGAGATGGTGAGCGGGTATCGATAGAGGATCCAGGTTACTTTCTCACTGCAGGGCGGGGTGGTGAGGGAGCCCTCATACACCCAGTAGTCCCTCAGGAGGGGGTCTGGGAAGATTTAAGATAAAAAATCTATTTCTTTAAAAATCAACAAAGAACCCAAATGGAAAAAATGAGAAAAATCCGACCTTTTATCTAAGTTCATTACTTTGGTGGTAAAATTAAAATCACACGTTTAGAAAATAAAAATGGTCATATTTATACTCCAGGGAAACAGGAAGTCATGAATTACTAATTAAAAGTTCCAACTTTAGCAACTACAGAAAAATATATTTAAAGGAAATCTATTACATTTTTCATTATAACTGTTAGGGGGGCAATAATTCTGGGACTCGTGATTTCACCTTTTTTATTTTAAAAATTATGTGATTTTATTTTTACCACCAAAGTAATGAACTTAAATAAAAGGTTGGATTTTTCTCTTTTTTTGAATTTGGCTTCTATATTGCCTTAAATAAAATCGAGAATTTTTAGAAATCCTCAACCATATCTTAAATAGGGGTGCTAATAATTGTGGAGGGCTCTGTACATGTCTATATATATATATACAACATTTCACACAAAATATAAATAAATATATACATATGTAACCATTATATATATATATATATATATATATATATATATATATCTAAAATAGGTGATAATGATAATAAATTAGTAAGAATAAATAAATAAGCTCTTAAAAAAAGAAAAAAAGAAAAAAAAGGAAAAAAACACAAAAACACAAAAAAAAAAGAATAAATGAATAAATCTGGACGCTGCCTTTTAAATCGTGAGGAATCCTCAGGTCTGAACCTGTTCAGGTCTGAGGGGTTCTGGAGGACTTACCCGGTAAAAGAGTGTTGGGGTTGAAACAAGGGATGGTCTTACTCTTCCCCTGAAGGGGAACAGAAGCAGATCACACCAGTTAACCAGTATATTAACCAGCATTTCCCAGTCTGGCCCCAGTCTGGTCCCAGTTTGGCCC